TACAACCAAATTCTGTGTGAAGAGAGTGACTATCGATGGGAAAAAAGTCACCATTGATTAAAGCTGGGGTTCCTAACCCTTGCACCATTTATAATACATGCTGTTTGTTCCAACATAAAGTAGATTTAAATCAGAACAAAACATTCTGTCTTCATCTTATTGGAAAAAAATATTTCTTTGTCATATATTTTTGCATATCAATCAATCAATCGTACCATTTGAAGTTTGGGCTGAGAGCTGATTGGCTGATAGAGGGCCGTTCACTTTCACTTTTCTGTACAAAAAAGTTGATCTAAAGATGGGACAGGCCAAAAAGTACATGCATGAGAAAACTGGTGATAGAACCAAGCTTCCGAAGAGCGAGGAACTAGTTAGAAATGTTGGTTTGAAAGTTACAAACCCCAGCTTTAATATATGATACTAAACCCATTTGATTTTTGCCTCCATAAAACATTCATTATGTTATTAGATCAGAGGCCACATGAAGTCCTTGTTTGGCTACTTGTTTGTTACTTACTTACAGAGACCACATGAAGCTTACAGTATTTCAAATATGTCAAAAAGGTCATAAAATGGTCATACTTTGAACCTGCCTGACCTATTGTCGTGGAGAGAGACAAAAACAGCAGCAGTTTCACTCAATCACCGGCCGGCTCTCCTTCTGGCACAATAGGCCCTGACACTTGGACCGGATGCCTCCATATAAACATACATACGCACATACACATACATACACACTCAGGGCTAATTCACAAGAGAAGGTCGTGGGCTGGTTGGCCTTTCCCTTTCACTTGACGGTAAACCAAATGTCATAGACCCGAGTTGTAAAGTGCACTTCTATAATTGTAATGTTGTTATCAAGCCCTGCTACTATTTCCAAATGAGCATATGTAGAAGTAATCATATTTACTGTTTGTTGTACTTCCGCCAGTTTGATTGAACTGCGGTAAATTTATTTGAAACGACACAAACTGGGAGATTAATGTCTGTGAAATTGCTGTGTTTTTTCCTGCTCCGTGAATACTGTACAAATTATGGATGTGACGGCATCTCATTTAAGTGTTAGCATTTTTGTGAGGAAAACATAAATCACATATTTTGATTCCAATGCCATTAGGAAGTTTGTAGAATTATGACCGAACAAGCCATTAAGGCAATGGCTTGTTCGGTCATAATTCTACAAACTTTCTGAAACAAAAAAGAGGTTCACATAACTTGAAAAGGCTAAGGCTTTTTAAAGAAGTGATGCATTGTAATTACATTTGCTTTGTATTTGAAATTAAACAATAGTCCTGCATCTCCGCTGGTGCAATGAATCAGTTCATAGCTGTTAAGACAATGCACTGATGGAAAAGTTGTCTGTAATTCAATCTAATGGTAATTTATTTTTATTTTTTTAGATAATGGAAATAGACTTATATTAAGAATAACTGGCAGAATTATAGCATGGATTAACATGATCAGGTGCCTTTACCCCAACTTAAAAACAAATAATGAAAATTTGGGGTTCAGCAGCAGCAGTTTTGGACTCAGTTTCAGGCCGACAGCAGCAGATCGAGCAGCAGTGGCTTTGTTCGCGTGCCGCTTTAAGTCAGGAAGGAAGTTCACTCCTTAAATCCAGCTCTGGCCACTGCTCCTCTGAACACAAGATCATTTACAATGCTGCCAGTCTGACTTGGCACACTCACAGGCACACTTCCTCTTCACCCACACTCACTGCCCGTACAATGGAAAACAGCAGACGTTTACTAATGTCAAAGTATTTATGCAGCTACTACACGGCTCCATCTTCTGATTATAATACGGGGATTTTCTTGCAATGAGCTTCTAATCATTTTCCTATCCCAATATTTGTTCTCTCCCGGAGTTGTTTTTAGATCCATCCATGTTAATATCAGGAACAACAGATGACAATAATATGCAATTGTCACAAGAGAAATAACAAAAATGAAACCTGCAGGTATAATACTTAAAACCTGCACTTTTGTGGTCAGTTCGAGGTTTATTGTGAATCTTGATCCACAAAGAACACACAAGCTCATCATTTTGGATGCACCTTAGCGTTTTCATGTCTGATATCAATCTTGATTTTTACTTTTATTTGAAAAAACAAAACAAAACATTGCTGTCCCTTCTCAACTCCCAAAACCAATAATATACAAGAGGTGCAACTCATTGGTTATGTATTGTTTTCATTTCAATGTGCAGTAAACAAAAAATGGAAAAGCCTTCCAGTTTTTGAACAATGCGGCACAAAGTGTTTTAGGTGACTGAAACCCCCATTTTTAAACACACTGATTAACCAGTTAACCCAAAGCTGCCAAATGGGTTTCCACATGGACTGGGACATTTTATTTTTCAGAATTTTAGTGGAAGAGAGGGGTAATGAAACCAAAGCGGCCTGGTCTCTTCCGATGCCAAGTGGGCACAAATATTCGGCTGGTACATTCACTGAGAGGAGGTAACACAGCCAGGTGCTGCTCAATATTCACATTTCACCAAAATCAGCTACTTGTGATTATTATCCATTGACAAAGCCTTGCAGCCACCTGGTGTTCCTCGCCTTTTGGCCTGACACAAAACTGCACAGTAAAAATGATCTGTAAAGTTCATATGATGCAACAACAACAACAGTTTAGTGTGAGTTGACGTTAAAAATGTTTATATATGGACTCAAGAACAAGATAGCGCTGTGGTCCTGTGCAAGGTCCTAGTTCCACCTTCAGACAAGGCCTTTCTGTGTAGTTTTCCCATATCACTACAACCATGTTCGATGGTTCAGGGTGGATGAGTGTGTGTAAACAAAACAAAAAAATACAATAAAAAATATAGAATCTACTTTACTTTGTCAATAATACTAAAACTGACACATCAGAAAAATGTCTCTATTATTTTACATTACTGTTACTTATCCTACTCCTTATATGCTGTCATTAGCAAACATAACTCGGATGACAACTGCAATACTTTGTTATTTTGTGATATACATATACATACAGTAATTTAGCATTGTAAGGTATATATTCAGGTTGCTATAGACTTCTTTACTTTCTTTACCCCCCTCCTTTTGCTTTTCATGTAGTCTTCTTAATCGTTACACTTCTGTTACAACAGTCATTTCCCGATTGAGGAAGGATTTGTGGATTTATTTTATCTTTTGATTATTGCTGTGTTTTTGGCATCTTCTTTACGACACAAGCGAGCCCAAGGATACGCTTGTGTTATTAAAATTAAACTATCTTTCAGTGGTAACATTACACAGTTCATTATGCCATGGCTCATTTCACTAGAGCACGGAGAAGCCAAAACAGGATGTGGTCGACTGAGATGTTTGACTTAAGAAACTGCTTTGTACAGTGTGTAGAATAATCTCGCAGCTGTCTTTATGGTTTCCTGAGTCTTCAAAATCTGCACTTACAAATGAATCTGTGAGGAAGAAAAGAAGAAATGCAAATATATGAAGAGTGAGCAGAGTTTTAACTTGTTTGCATAATACATCTTTGCTAGTACAGCATATTGCATCATCACACCAAAATCCCAATAATGAATATGCAGACAGGTTCACAATAAAACAAAATAAGGTAATGTCTTCTGTAATAGCTAAAACTGGTAGATATTGACACAAGATATTGCTATATTTGTTCGATTACCAGACATGGCAAGTCAAATGGCAGTTGGTATTGCACAAGTGAAATCACTGTGGAACAAATCATTAATACTTTTTTTACAATTATTATTCATGTACAAATAATTAAAAAAGTAGTAAAACATATGCATATTCAATGACAATAATTACAATAAGATCAATTTGTTTGTATATTTCCTACCTCCAAGTTGACAAAACATAATTTACCTTTGCAGTTTAGTTAGTAGCTCATAGTAAATTAATGAAATTGGTGCATTCAATTTGTCAATAACAAAAACAACTAATCTTCTAAAGTACTCAGAGTTGTTTACTGGTACAACTACTACTGCTACTACTACTGCTTTTCAACCACTTCCTCTTACCACATTGTGAAACAAAATTGACTAAACTTCACTTGATGTGCAAAAGCAAGCTAAATTGAGCCCTCCAATGTTACAATCATGCTTTTTTCTTTGACTTCTACGATACCACATAATAAATCTTCAGACAATTGAAATCCATAGTAACCGCTCCTCTCCCGAGTCACTCGGCTTAAACCGCTGCATGAGTCTGAACTAAAATAGAAACGGGAATAATGCATGGGAAATTTTATTCTGGAACAGGATTTTGAGACGGACAAATACTATAATTAGATTGGTTTACATCATGGAAAAAAAACACTGTAGCCTTTTTGTATTTTAATGTGATGTGTAATATATTGGGGAAAAACGGCAGTGAAGAGATAAGCCATCTGTTATTTCTTCTTTTGTACATTTGCCAACATGTAAAATGGACTAAGACAATTTTGTTTGAGGGGGTTTGCCACCGATAGATGTTATTACTGTGTCAGGATTATTCCACAGTACGGTATTTCAAAAAGCCAGATTCTTATGTATTTGGTAAAGTTAAATTGTGTGCATTTTGGTCAATTATAAACTAAATTAAAATGTTAAAGGTGCATTCATCAACTCACCTAATGGCAGGGTCTCTTTGTGCTTCATCCCAATGTTTTTTTTGCCTGGTTATTTCTATAGTTTGTCATGTTCCTTTTACATTGGTAACAAGAAAGTGACTTAATTTGTGGAGGCAAGTTGTCTCATTGTAAAAAAGCACTACAATCATCCGTAATTTAGGAATGTACATGTTTTAATCCAAAATGAGTAGTATTTCAAGCAGCAATAATATATCTATTAAAAGAAACAGGTATCGGACAACATCACAAAAAAGGGGTCGTGGAATGCATCTTTAATAATCTGAATTAAGGATTTAATTGAATTAAACAAATTTAGGCCATGTTCCTTCAAAGTGTAAACACTGATCAAACATAAAAGTATTTTTAGTCTAACACATTTCCTCTGTTGTTTTCCCTCTTCAGCGGATATGGAGCTGTCCCACAGTCATGCCCCACTGGGCGTCTCTGCTCCACACATGTACTACACCTGTCCAGAGGGGGCGACAGTGAAGCTGCTCTGTAACCAACGAGGGGCCTTGAAATACTCCACGGACAAACTCCAACACAACTGGTTATTCACACAACACAGTGACCAGCTCTGTTCCGGCCACACCAGACCCAGAAATATTGGACACAAGTTGCCTGCAGGTGTGAGCATCGGCTCCTCCGCTGACAACTTTTGGCTGATTATGGAGAATGTGACGTATGCAGACCAAGGCCGATACTGCTGCATGGCTCTGGACATACAGGAGGCCAACCATCACAAAGTACTTCTCCAGAGACAACACAGTCACATAGTGCTGGCAGTCACACCAAGTAAGCACATGGCAGTATGCTGGGTTAATATACAACCAGGAAATATGCACTCTTCAGATCGCGATTCTACTATTTCTCCACCATTGATCCTAAATTTAAGATTATAGGCACTGAGAATGTTGCTACTGGGCAATAAAAAAAAAAAATGTTAGGGATGCAGAATATTATTGCGATATGCAATTGTGGTGTCAATGTCTGTGATAATGATATATTTTTTCCTTCCCCAAAGAAATCACTTACTGTATCTCTTCTCCCACCATGTTTTGTATTGTTCTTTTCAGAGTCTAAAAATCTATGTTGGCGCTAGCAGAAAATGGCAATGTTTATGCTTGAAATACCATGATATATATGCAATTATCGCACATCTTTGCACTATCGATTATGCCCTTGTCATTATAGACAATAAAACAATATTTTTGTGCAAAATATTGTGCATCCCTAATGTAGACGTTATAAATTAAATCCATGGCTAATGTCACATGTGAATATACCTCTATGTGCATATGATGGTAACTGCTGCAGATGAGCCTTTTGTAATCAGATACTGTAAAATTGTAATCATGTCTCACCTTGTATGAGAACACTGTGAAATTATCCAATATCCTGTTGCTTGATCCTCCTGTTCTCATGCTAGCATTGGTAATTTCTCTTTATTGTGGACATGGCTTCAATGGCTTCCTTTTATCTTTGTCCCCAGGAAGAAATGGCTCTCAGGAGTGCACATATGTGGACCCCACTCCGCCCGGAGGTCTGTCTCTGTAATTACGCCTTTAAGCTGCGAGATGCACACAATTTGTTTGTTTACACCATGTTTTTTTCCCAAAGGCGCTGTGCCAGTGGCTTTGGCCGTCGCTGCCTGTGTTTTGGCTCTGCTCTCGCTGCCTCTGATTCTGGTGCTGGTTTACAAACAACGGCACAGCGTCCGTTCAAGCAGACGTGAGTATTGCTGGTCATAAGACAAAAGAGGAAATGTTGAATTTGACTGAAAAGCACAGTATGGAACCTGCCCTGTTTGTACGGCACCTGTTATCTCTAAAGAATTCGTATTGCTTTGCTACAATGTTAACAGTCGGACATCAAATGATCCATCTCCAGTTTCAAATAATTGAATAAATGCTGCCAAAACCCAATTTAAATCAAATCAATAAAACACAATTTTGGCAATAGCAGATTAGAAAATTGATTCATGAAGGCAAAGAGATTAACCAAACCATTTTGTTAATCATAACCAATTCTTAAAGCTTTTCCAACTAAAACCAAACCTGAAAAATTAGAACATTTGCAAACATAGCTCCTGATAAAAAGTGTCTGCTCTAAATGTGTTGAGATAAAAGAAGAAGCCAATTTAACGGCATCAACTAATTTCAAACCAATTTTTGTACAGCCCAAAATCATAACAAGTCGCCTCAAAGGACTTTGTTGATTTGCCAGTGGTATCTGAGAAAATCAAACAATTAGAATATTGGGCAAAAAAGACAAACAAATTGAATGTCCCAGAGCGTCACAGATAGTAAGTAGTAGTAGTAGTAATCTTTATTTATATACCGCCTTTTCACTGCAGATCTGAGTCTCAAAGCGGTTTACAATTGTTAATTTTGGGCATTTGTCTCTCACTCCACACAGAGATGGGAGCGTGGTCGCCAGTACAGGAGGCGCATGCTAGAACTATTGGACATATTTTTAGTGGTAGGGGAAACCGGAGCACCCGGAGGAAACCTACGCAGACACAGGGAGAACATGCAAACTCCACTCAGAAAGGCCCTGGTCCGACCGGGATTCGAACCCAGGACCTTCTTGCTGAGAGGCGAGAGTGCTACCCACTCAGCCACCGTGCCACTAAAATGTTTAGTTTTAAAACATTCCTAGCATAACAAAAACACCAGAGAAAGTGAAACATAAAGTTAAACATGTTAGTTTACATTTAACCCCATATTCTTGGTAGTAAAGGGAAAAGAAAAGTGTTTGACCAAGCTATCAGGGAATTATATATTAACACAAGCAGGAAAAGACCATCTCCGCTTGTGATTGGCTCTTTGTTGCTAGGTAGTTTTTGGTCATAGCTGGGGATGCTGAGCAGGCAAAAGTCAACACAAAGTGAGTGAATGGAAGCAGTAGCAACATTACACGATCATATTTCATTCATCTCTCAGTGTTAAGGGTCAAGCTTATATCCTCCTGCCGCGTTTCCCACTGTATTTTTTGGTCACTTGTTTCCTGGTCTAAAGCCTTTGTTTCATTCACTCACAATGGATCGTTTCCCCTTTCCTCCCGCTGCAGGTGCCCAGGAGCTCGTGAGGATGGACAGGTGAGATTTCCCACACTACACAATGAACAGCTGCTCTTTTAATATAATAATAATAATAATAACACTAAACATTTTATACTAGCTTATAGGTCCTCAATCAGAAAAATCAGCCTCCTTTGCTATTTCAGAGGCTGTATTGACACATAGTTTTCAACCATGTTACAACATTGTTACCTTATCATAAATCATTCTGTACCTGGAGTTGTTTCTAGCAACATCCATGCTAAAATGAGGAACTTATTACACAATTGGAGCTCTTGTCTTTATACTCTTTCAAAAACTTTGTATATTCATCTCTTTGAGTATTGCAGACAAATGAGTTTGGTAATTTCAGGATGTGTTTTACAACTGCATGTATTCATTGAGCCCATGCAATGTACATGGACTGTGCAATATGGACTTTTACACACACACAAAGTTGTAACCCATCTTTGCACTTGTGCGGGATTATACAATTTTTAATGAGATTCACTTGCTTTTATTGCACTTCCGACTAGTGTCACCTCTTGATATGTATGTAAACTTTCTGCTATGGCCATCTTTTTAATGTTTAGTGTTTTAACAAACAGATAAATATAACTTAAAATGGTCATGTCAATATTCTCAAGATTGTGTTTCTGGGACAAAATAAACATGTATAATGCATAATATTTTTTCTTGAATGTAAATTTACAAGAATATATGGAAGCAAATGTTCCTGATTTTGGGAGCCGCCATTACTTACTGCAGTAGCCTTTGCGAAATGGATTCATCGGATTGCCTGTTGCATAAAACATAGCAAATGGTGGGAGAAAATGACTGTAAAAATGTATGCAGCCGAGAACTTACTTCTTTTCCATTTCTTTCGAGCTTTGGCATTAATGTTCTTTCTTTCTAAAACCATTAACAACAACGCAACACTCTTGAATTGTAACTTTGCAGAACCTACTTTAGTTTTCCTTTATGATGCACTGATGCTGAGGATTGATTTTTGCTTAGAATATGGTTAGACTGCATTTTCTCAATTTCTAATGGATTTCCAAGATCAACACAAACTTCCTTATTTGTCCGTGTTTGTCAGCGGCAAAAAAGTAGTTTTATGACTCGTGATAATATCTGTTTTTTCCATTTGCAGTGAAGCGCAGGGCCATGAGAACCCAGTATTTCTTGGTGGATCTCCTCAAGTTAAAACCCGAACTGTGTCTCAAATCATGACCAGGCAGTCCTCCGAGACGGGGCGCCACCTGCTGTCTGACCCTGGAACTCCCCTCTCCCCACCGGGACATGGAGACGTGTTCTTCCCAGCAGATGGTAATTCACTTTTAATCTTAATTTACTGTTGAGAAATACATTACATAAGTAGTGTTTCCTCCTGCTCTGATTCTGATCATGTCTCATAAGAGAACAAAACAAGTTCCATGAGATTTTCTGGTTGGACGGTTAATGTGACCATCAAATCCATTGTTTTTGTTTTATATTCACATTTTGATCCAAAATTGGAATGTTGACAGTTGAATTGTATGGAAAATTTGGAAATGTCAATGGAAATCAAAATTTAACATACTGTGTCAAGGGCACTATACAGTATATTTTATATTAATCCTCAGAGAGGTTACTGCTTTGCTTATGACAAAGTATGGATGAAATTTACCACCATGAAGATTAAGATGGTATCACTATACCAGGGTCAATAGTTTTTTGTGTGTTATAGGCTTTCCCAGTAGATCAATTAACCGCAAAAAAACTGCGATATGTTTGCAGTTTAAAGCACGTGTGATAAGAAGTTGATGTATCCCAACTCCAGTTCATTACAGCCACATTCCAGGAAATAAGAATGTTAGAATATGTCATTGTAATTGTCTTAAGATGTGGCTGAAGTCCTTTAAGAAAGCATGTGATGAAAACATTCAGAGGATATTACAGCTATTCATCAGAGATGTGCTAAAATATGCCTTTAATTACCTTGAGGATCCATTAGTACATGTTATTTCAATAGACAAAAATCCCAGACAATAATCCCCAAAACAACAGATATAAGATTAGATGTTTTTCCACCTCTTTGCAATTTCATCCAAAAATAGAGCTCTCACTTTTGAACAACAAAACAATTCCTCCTTTTCGTATGCAGCTGAAATAGTTGCTTTGTTTTGGAGTGGAAATATAAGGCTGTATCCAATTCTTGCCCTGGAAGAAATAGTTCAATATCAACGTGATGTGAAACGCATTTGAACCCGAACAATAGAGTTGGGGCTATAAATATGTTTTAAGATGCTATTGGCGCTGGAGGTCAGAGAATAGGACTGTGCAGAAAAACTTTGAGACACGAGTCGAGGCAGAGCGGTATCATAAAAAGCTAAAGCTATTTTGATTTTAAACATATTCACTTTTTTACTTTGTTTTGGTGCAGTGCCTAATGTTCCTTGATGACAAATTAATGACTGCAAGGCTTATTAGCGAGTTCTGCCATAATTTAAAATGGAAATTGTTATCAGCTTGTTCCCATACTAAAATTAAAACACATTAGTGAGGCGCAGGCCAACCAAGCGTCTGTCATTTGCATTTTAGATTCGAGGAATTCACATGCGAACGGCAAAACACGTCCATTATTTCAAAACAAACACCGTTTTTGGTTAAAAATCTGATGCAACCACAGCAACGTTGGCCTTTTCTGACTCATGTAGAAACTTCCTAGATATGGTGCAAGCTTGAGAGGAGACTTTGGAAATGCTATGTGCCAAAGATAGAAGCTGCTTCAGACCTGAGAATAAAAGAAGAGTCCATTTCCACATGAACACTGTTTTTCTCACATATCCACCCAGAAATGTTCTGAAGCATTATTTAAGAGCATCTATATCAGATTCAGGCATATCCAATTTTCCAATAGCAGACAATCTGACTATTCAGATTAAATAGCCCTAATATTGTTTTTGTGTGATGTCTTTCTTATCTGGATCTCGTGTCTGTAATAACGTTTTAATAATAAAAACAGACTAGTTCCAATACCTTCCAATATCTATCTATTCTATGTTATAGCAAGGAGACTATTTCATGTTTTCTTTTTCAAGCATAGTTTGTGTTTCTTTTGTTTGTTGCTGTGCTTCAGATTTATTTTTTGAGTGAATACAGAAAAAAAAGTTGCAATATTGCTGACATAAAGTGCATAGCAAGCCGTTAATATTTATGAGATTTTCTGGTCCAGAGCTGCACAAATATGAATAAACCGCAATCTAACACAACAGAAATGACCTCTTTAGTTGGAATTTAGAGCTCATCCTAATAATATTTTAAAGCATTGGTTTCATACAATTTCAGTATTTGCAGATATATCAGTCATTCTTCTGCTGTGGCATGTTTCCTGTTTATAAAATACTTTACTTTCTTCACTGAATTCAAACACTCAGAACAGGTCAATTCCCAAGAATGCTAACGTGTTTCACTACCTCTTCAGTGGCCCATTTAAGTTTCATTTCTTCTGTGTTCTGTGTTGTTTTTGACCTTTAACTGGTGGGAACTTGATCAACAGTAGTTCCCCTATCATTTTATGTTCATAAACATTTGGCTTTTTTCATGTTCTGCTTTGAAAAGAATCACGCAAGACTCTGAAACATAACAACATGAATAGGATCACGTATAGTTCAATGTGTTTTGTAACTAAGAAGATTATAACCCAAACACCACTCCCCATTTTATCTCCCTTCTAATAGTCATGATGATGTGAAGCTTATGCAAAACTACCAGAGTATTATTGTAGCTTTCAGTTTTTACTGGGACAGACTGCAATAAACATAAACCAATGGAAGTAGTACCTGGAGTAGCTAAGTTTTTATGCATTTAATGTGTCTTTTTCTCCAAGAGGATTGTTTAACTAAAGTTTTAAGAACAAATTGGACCACAACAGGCTGTCTTTATCAGGACGGAAAACATTTGACCTTTTACATACTGGCTAAGATGCAAGATGGCGCCGTGCCAGGGCGCCGCTGCAAGAGCTCCGTTGTGCACCGTGATTGTTTTTCTGTCGGTGCACACGGAGTGCCTTTCTTGCGAACGTATTCCAATGTGGTTTTTTAACTGCACATGGCCAAATAAATGAATCTTGAATCTTGAAGTGAGGGTTGGTACTCTCTTTTTCACTGAGAAAGCTGATCTAAATATATGACAGAGGCCAAACATGAATAAACCAAACATGGATTTTTTCAAGGTTTTTTTTTGTGGCATTTTTTGTGTGTTGTTGTTGTGGTACTCCAGCGTGATGGGGACCTACATAAAATGTTTGCATGTAAAAACTGTAGATCTTGTCCTGAAATAAACATTACATTTCTAGGCATTGTTATCCTTTCCAAAAGACAATGTTTCGTAAATTATACTAGTTACATCTATAACTTTGACGACAATGTCTGGCTTGATCTGTGTAATGAAAACTTGCATGTCTTTCTTCTCCAGACCCCATCCCTGAGTCTCCAGACCTACTTTAAGCCGTGGTTGGTGAACTGCCCTCTTCATTTCTCTGCCTCTGAAGAGATATTACCCTTGTAGATCACCTCACTGTTGGGATTGTCGTCTGTACAGTGTCTGGGCAGCCGGAGATTATGTAAAAACTCATTCCAGCTGCAACAACAGCCAGTGGCTAAAACAGGGATCTCTGCTTTGAGAGCTGCGTGCACTGTGGACACGAAGGAGCAGCATGTGGTCGGACTCATGCCGACAATCTGGAAATCTGCTGATACTGGTTTTAAAGATGCTTTCTCCATTATTCACTTTACATCAGACAAAATATCAATATCTCAAGTGCTTATTAGGAGAGCAGGAAGAAGTCCAGCAAACATAATCCTTATTATGTTGAGGACAATCATAGCGTGTCTTGTTGAGAGAGAAATAATTATATATATTAAAATATAATTTGGATTAATTTCCTTTCTTTTGTTGTTTCTACGACAAGGGTAAAAACCTGCATTTGGCCAAAGAACTGAAATTCCTTAATGCACACAACTATATTTTCAAATATGCAAATATGTTGTGTTGGAGCGGTTTGTTATTGAGCTGAAGATTTACATGTGCAAGCCGGAATATGAGAATATTGTTTGAAAGTCCATTTACTTCTGTAAGTGCACCTACAATGTGGGATGTAAAAGGAGTAAATACATACAGTATATTCTAGCTAAACTCCAGCAGATGGATTGCATCAAGTAGAGCTTAGAAGTTACAAGCATCATAGATTTATGAAGGTTTATTAGACCACTAAGAGTGCATAGTACTGTCCATTTAATGTTGATAAATTATTGAAACCCAAATAAAACCTCATTAAAAAGGTAATATTTTGAAAATGGACTAAACCATAGTCATCAAAATTATGACAAACAAAGTCTATATCATATAGTTTCACATTGTAAGTCGCATTACAAAAATAAATTAACTTTTGAACAATATTTTCTTATTTCACAGTTTCACCTGTATTTGAAGTAGGTCACGTTTCAGGCATTTGAGGTTTGGATAGATTTATGTTGAAATCAAAGTTCTACTGATTTAATTTGACCGCGATGCCATTAACATTGGGCTGACCTCTTTTCTCTGCTACCTCACTTTCTGTCAGCCGCTCTCTGCTCCTCATCCTTCCTGAGCGCAACATTTCAAAGGGCTGCTGAATTTAAACGTGCATCAGACTGTAGTTTGTCATGTTTTTGTACATAATGTAAATGCACATCTTAACATTTCACCTGGCACGTTAATAGATACATTATTGCACTCAAAATAAAACAAGGACTACATAGGTATCACATCAAAAATAAGAGTCAGAGTTTCATCAGAAATGTGATGTGAAACAGACTATGGCTGGGCCCCACCAGGGATAGAGGACTACTAAAATCAATAACAGAAATAAATATTTATAAAAAAGATTAAAGACAAATGCATGGAAACGTTTGTGGGAAGCCAGGTTGCTGTTTATAAAGTGTCCTAGAGTTAAAGAAAGTATAGCGTGTTGTTGTATGGGCTGTGCCTAAACTTCTGCAGATCCACTGTGTTTATGAGGCCAAAGCCATCGCTAACTGTGTATTATGAGCAGGCCACAGGGTATGGTGCTTGGTGCATCATGTATATGCTAAATATTCTAATGGTTGTCAATAATAATATGTGTATGTGATTGTATGTACTTGGGGCAATTGCTGGGGGATGTTTGACTGTTTCTATACTTATACTTGTAGCAGCGGAAGAGTGTACAAAGCTTATAATGACTGATGATGTGTTGCTATAATATGTTTGTTGTGTATATTGCATTTAAATGGTTCTTTTTACGGTTTGTACAATAAATCTGCACCTTTTCACCACAGCCTTATATTTACACTCAGGCACCATTGTTTATTGGAGTGACAGGTCTCTGTATGAGGCTGTGATACCTGCAGCGGGGAACCATTACTGAAACAAGGTTGTTCCACTTGTGCGTCTTACACCAGAGGGAGAGTGGCATTGAGCAGATGAAATAAACCGACCTTTTTATGGGCCGACAAGCTGAGTGGAACAGACTCCAAAATCTCTGCTGCCAATGTAGGCATTGATATATTTAGACAGTGACTAATGTAACAAATTCCTTGTTACATTCTTGTAAATTCTACAGATTTCTTTAGTTTCCGTAAACATGAGGTTGTTGTTTAAATAATTGTTGATCAACTACAGTCTTGCCTTGACCATGGCTCCGTCATCAAAATATAGACCAGAATGGAACAAACTAAAAATGCACTATCCAATAAAATACTTGACCAAACTGCACTGACAGCACAAGGGGGAAAAAATGGTACATTCCAAATCTACAGTACTAGAATCTTCTATAGCAGTGGTATAAACCGGAGCGGAGATCATGTATTGGTTCTGACTGACTGACTTACAATATCAGTATTTGAACAGCTTAAACATATCTATCATGTGCAGAAAAGTGCCAGTATCACCAAAGGACACACCCAGCCTCACAAGTGCCACCATGTCTGCACATGTATATTTGCTCGTGATGCCTTGTTTTCCCACTAATCCTTCACCCAACAGTGCAAATGCAAGGATTACCATGCATTGGTAAAACGTAAGGGCTAAACCACATTACAGCGTGATTGCTTGTGTAATCCCTGTTAATAAAAGTTCTTTGCTCTGAAATCCACATGCCTAGCAATAGCACAATGGCAACTGTCCAGGGTGTATCCTGCCCCAGGCGCAAATTGTCTGAGGCATTTTTCCTGCTGAAAAAAAGCAGGAAAAATGTCACAGGGAAAATTTGAGCTCGTTCTGTCATCTCTGACTCATTGAAAGCTTAAAAATAACTTCTGGCAATAATCAGCATGGAAAACCTTCACACGTAGCTCTGATGTATATGTATGTATGTAGCTACTGCAAAACACGGTTTGTGCCTGTCTCAAGCCTGGAGAAATGAAGAAAGTCAGGCACAAAGCATAGACTGTATATCAGGAGTGGACTAACCAAGTGCTGACGTCACCCATAGTGTTCGACGGGGTTAGCTTTGTGTTGTAATGGGGCAGATGGAAATGTATTCTAATAGTTATCCATAGCAAGCTGGGGTCTGATTGGCCAATCCTTATGGCTCATATCTGGATTTACAAAGACAACATCAACATAAAAATCGCAGGATCATAGGAAGCGCAAAAGTGTGAAATGTCCAAGAGCATTTCCCTATTGGCCTTTATTGAGCTAGGAGGTTTGCAATACTATTTTTAGCGTAGATGGATCGAAAAACAACTTCAGGTCTGTGCTAAGGAAACAAAGCTCATTATTCATTATATATATTTTTCAAAAACGCGTCTCCTTTAAACCATGACATTGCATTAGTGGTTGCCTACCGATAAAGGTGGGTTTCCGTCGTCCTCCACAGTGACCGTGAGGTGATAGTCTTCTTGGCGCTCGCGGTCTGGAGGAGCAGGACGCGTCACCATCTCTCCCGTCACGCGGTCCATGCGAAACGTCAGGTCTTGGTTTCCCGACGTGATGTAGTAAAACAACATGGCGTTCGGCCCAATGTCCCGATCGGTGGCAATCACGCGCAGGACAGAAGTGCCTCCTCCGACATTCTACAAAATATGTGGAAGCGAAAATAAGGCTGTGGATATAGAGGTTATTTTATTATTTAGGTTTTTTTAGCCAATACAATTTATTAGAAAAAATGTATAAGACAAAAAACTAATTGTTAGGTTGAAATGTAAAAGATAAATTAGAAATGAATAAGAGCGCAAGGCAGAAGTTAACTTTGTCAAGACATAGAAAATTGAACTCAAACAGATGTAAGAACAGAACGGTTCACATTCAATGGTTGGTTGTTGACTAACTTTGCATTTTTATGCATTATTCTAATTAATCACTGGTTATTAAATGCCTTTCACAACCTTCAGGGAGTGTGAGAATTTTATCTTATAGTAAATCTAATCAAACACTTAATGTATGTCACGTAAAGAATATACTATTCAACATAAAATGGGTATGAGCAATACATTTGTTATTGACCCACACACTGTCACTGCGTTCCACATCTTCTTTGTTAGTACATATCAAATCTACCAGGTCTAAATATTTTGTCATAAAGGTGTGCAGAACTCAAAATATTCAAAAAATATATGCAAGATGCTGGTCAGAAGAAAGTACTTTCACACAAACAATAATATGGCAGGTTAGTCTGTCTCTCAGACAAGTGCCCCAATCTGTTCTGGGTCTGGGGAGCAACCAAAACAGATGCCCGAGCCACCTCAACTGGCTCCTCTCGATGTGGAGGAGCAGCAGCTTCTACCTTGTGACTGAGCTCCTCACCCTAGAGTTTTGGTTCTATTTCCCATTTCGACTGGTTCTATACAAGATCTTGTAATGTTGGTAATTATCCAAAGCTCATGCCTATACAGTAGCTGAGGGTGGAACCACAGATTTAGCGGTGAATCAGGAGTTGTACCTTTCATCTCCCCTCCCTCTTCACCATCAAAAGTTATACTTCAGATTAAATGAGTGCATTGCTGCCACACCTCACTGATGCTGACGTTGTAGCCTGTCTGGCTCTGAATCACTGGAGCGTTGTCGTTCACGTCCAGGATGTTGATGGTGAGAGAGTGGTCCGTGTATCTGGGAGGGGAGCCATTGTCGGTGGCCCTCACCTGCAACACAGATAAGTGTGACAAATGTAATCCTGTTTACAGAAATAAAATATTGTTTTGAAAACAATATTATGTTTTATCAACTGGAAAATAATAGAGTACAATGTTCCCATTAAACTATAATAGAAATAACAAGAACAAACAGTTATTCAAAATATATTTTTCTGATTATTTTTCATTTGTGAGTGAGGAGTTCAAAATGTTCCTGATCCAACTCAGAATTCTACGGAAACAAGAGGAATACAGCTTTATTCAGATGCCCAAGATTTTTTTTTATCATTTGGCGAACAAAACATATAATTGGGCTCTTAAAAGTGTAAACCTCATAACCATCTGGAGGTGTCATGTCACCCACACGATTCCATGGAAACAGAAAGCTAAAGGCAGCCATCTAAATATCCTCCATGGAAATAGATATTTTGATGCCATACTGTGGAGTATTAAAGCCAAACTCCCATGTGAAACATCTGGATACATCTATACTGCTCTTGTTTCCGTCACACACTGAGGTACAGAGTGATTTAAAACATGTATGTACTGTACATTATGTATTCTGCCCTCTGAAGAGCTCACATACAGATTCCAATTGTTTGTTTTGTTCAGAAAGGAACATTTCCACAGACACCAGTATGAGTCAGGCTTGTGACTTGCGGACCATGCGCTGACCTTGAGGAGATAGCGGTCCACTGACTCTCGGTCCAGAAGGGCGTTGACAAAGACCTCTCCATACGTGTGGTTTACGGTCTTTATTTTGAACACGTCCTGCATGTTACCGGCCACGAGGGTAAAGTTCACCTGTAAAGTTAACAAAGCAAAGAAAAAAATTTTCAGTCTATCTTTTATGAAGTGTAATGTAATGGGGATGAATCATACTAGGATTGATTCAAGAAAGAATTTATGAAATACAGTGAAAAGATCAATCATATTGTGCCCCTCTATATATTATCATGACCTTTTCCATTACAAAAAAACTAAAACATTTATACTCTAGTTATCAAAGGATATCTCATTGGGCATCGCTTCTTACCATAATGGCAGTAATCAACCAAAGAATGTACATGAAATCACATATAATTAAGACTTTGATTTTTAGTAAATCCATCATTTTTGCCCCCTTAACTTATCCCACATGAATTCTTGTAATTTAATTAAAATAACTAACAAACACAAACTTGTCCATGCTCTGGTTAATTGACTAAACGTCTATATACTCACCAGTCCATTCAGGCCAGCGTCTCTGTCTCGAGCCAAAACCACCGCCACCTTCCGGCCCATGGGCGTGTCTTCTAAGACGTCCACAGACGTGTCAGACGTGATGTCAAACTCGGGGCTGTTGTCGTTTTCATCCAGAATTGTAATAGAAACCTACGCAAAATGATGTGTTAAAAGACAAAAGACAACTCTGCAATGTACTTTATGATTTTACTGTATATGTGATTGTTCATAGTTACACTGCGATAGAGCTTTTACATCATGAATTTACCTAAAATAAGAAATCCAGAAGACATTTCTCGCTTTTGAGATGAGCTGATAAAGAGCTTAAAGTCCGGCAATTACGACAAATTGAGATTTGACTCTAAGATCTTAGTAGTTTATGATGGAACTTCCTGGTTGAAGGTGAGCGGATGTGACATTGGTATATGTAATTCCCAGAGCAACATTCGGCTAATTCACAAAATAATTATGAAGTAGAAATATGAACAACTGTAAATTGTTGAACGAATGTTTAAACTGTCATAAAATCATTTCTTTTTCTAGTTCAGTCCAGTCAGATGTATTTTACACCTCATTATCTCTGAACAACCAAAAACAGCAAATAAAAAGTGTAATTAAAAGAATTAATCTCTATGTAATAGAGATTATATTTTATTTTAATATAGTTATTATTCATTGTGCTCCTCATTCCTACTGTTCTGTAACTTGTCATGCAACACTGAAATTTCCCCACTGTGGGACGAATAAAGGATCTCTGAATCTTAATCTGAACATCATTCAATATTATACACATATACAAACAAGACTCAATCAAATTGCAGTATTCTTACCTTCTGTATATCCAAAGAAGCATGGATGGAAAATGAAGGTTGTTAAGCTTTCTACACTGGTGAACATCGCAAACACAGTTAAAACATGCAGATAATATAAAACAATTATATTTCAATATGTAAAATATTGAAATACATGACAAAAAGTCACGCACCACAGTGGAGTCCTTTTTGGGCCCTCCATCATCTGCGACAACAGTCAAAGTGTAGGTGTCTCCCTTCTCTCTGTCCAGTAGACCTGTCACTGTGATGCGACCCTTAGACACACACACAACATATCACACCTTTTTTCCCACATAATCATTTCATTCAAGATCACACATTTCCCTCAAGAGATATCAGGGCAAAATTGAACAGTAACAAGAACAAGAAAAGTCACTATTTCTCATCTAAAACTTCAAAGTAACACGTTCTTTGATCAGTGTACAGCACAAACACGGGAGAGAGGAACCACTGCAGAGGTGTGACCCAGCTAACGGGTGAAAGAGAAACGGAGGCACATATACAACCACAATGTTTTACCACTGACAACTCAATTAAATCTGAAACACTGAAATAAATAAAACCAAGCAAATTATTCTTAAAAGCTGCCTTTGATATGTAAAACCAAAGCTGATATTATTATGTTATGATGTGATAAAAGGCAAAATGGACTCAAGCAGAAAACAACATCATTTTAAAATTCTGCTGAAGATTTCTGCTGCTAACAATTTTATTCCGTGCAAAAGAATGACAAAAAGTAAGTGACAATGATCTTGAAAAAGGTAAAATCTATCTTGACATTTCCTTAGCATTCTATTTTTCTCGTAAGGAATGAGAAGGAAAAAAAAAACAACTGGAATATGGCATGTTTGCTTGTCCCATTGGTTAAATTACATTACAATGGTCAAAATGTATGCATGCACTTAAAAGCTGACATTTTTCAGTTTTTGCAATGCTTTTTCCTGGCAATGGGAGAACATATTTTCTGAAAAACATAATTATAAACCATACATTTTGCATGCACTCACTCAGTTTCTCATTATTATGACTATCAAACCTTTTTGCAGCCTAAGTGCAAATGTCAAAGATTAGTCATGATGGAAAAAGATGATTCTGTAACATCTTTCTAAGAAAAAGGAATGAAAACAAGACTGTCTTAATAATCGTGAGGAACTGGTGATTCACGGGTAGATCCTTTCGAAATGTTTTAACTCAGCAAATTGTGTACAACTAGTAATAGCAAAGGTTGAAATTTGTACAACAAACTAGATGTTAGATTAACTTTGGCTTTATCTTTCTTTCTGCTGTTTGCAATGTAATTCTATATATTAAGCATAGTGTACAAAATAAATGTATTTTAAAATGTTTGAATTAATCCAAAATTATTGGAAAAATGAACACAAGAACAGAGATTGCTTATATTGTTAACAGTCCTGATTGTAATATCATCAAATATCTTAACTCATTCCTATTAGGACAATATCTTTAATTGTTTTTCAATATTATTTTGAGGTTTTATTATTGGACGAATGTTTTTGATCCGTTTGTTTAAAGCACTTTGTTAAAGTATGTCCTTTATGCCTTTCCTTCAAAAAACAATACTACTGTCCCTGGCTCAGCTCTTTCTCCAAAAGAGTGAGTTTAGGAGAATTAAACAAGTCCTCTTCTTCAGCCCCATGATTGCCATCGCTTGATTTTAATGCTGATAATCGAGATTGAGAAAAGTTGAGATTTTTGGCACAGTCCTTTTGTACACAGTTAGGATGAATTTGCCTTGAATGGCCCCCCTCAACGGAGGCCACCTCTGTGTCCTGGCTGATCCCCCTGACCAATCCAGTAATTGCTAATCCTGCTACGGCCTAAAGCAATTCTATCTCTCAACAACCATCTCTCCTTGGGATATGATTTATTTTGCTATGTCTGTATGTATCTTGTAACTGTGTAGTGTCATAGTGTAAATGTCCTCATTTATATCTATTTGGTTTGAGCCTTGTATGTAAGGCAACCACAACATTTTTGTTATAACATACACTTACGGTAACACTGTCTATTCGAAACAGAGCCAGAGCCACTGGGGAGGTGTCTGGGTCGAAGCGATACGTTAGCTGGTTCAGATTATCTGCAGACTGGGCTTGTACTTGGACCACCTCTGTCCCTGTTGCAATGTTTTCCCTCAGCGAGGCTTCGTAACCGGCAGAAAAGAAAGCCACGGCCTCGTCCAGCTCGTTCAGCAGTGTGACGTGAACAGTGCAGAAGCCTTTGTGGAACGGAGGGGCCTGGTCGGTGGCAGAAATGTTCATTGTGTAAGTGGTTTTAGTCTCGTAGTCCAGGGACTCCACTGTGGTAACCAGCCCAGTACTGGAGTCCACCTGGAACTTTCTATCAGCTCCAGATACAATGCTGTAGGAAACAGCTCCTCCATCACCTGGAAAAATACAGAGAGACATTATCATACAAATATTTTTTTCTCACTGCAGCCCAGTGTTTTGTGACATGTGTTGAATTAGCATGTTGACTTGGGATACCAGTGGGAAAGGGTGGAGAGTTCTTTAGACCCGAGTTGGATATTCACCACAGGGAAGACAAAAATGTGTCCAAAGTGATAGGGTTGACACACAGAGCTATGATGAGAATGAATGCATGAGAATACTTTTTATAAGGGAAACATTGATGTTACTGTAGCCAAACACATCATTACCATATATTTGTCAATCAATATCAGTATCAAGTTGTCAAGTTGCTCAAATAAACAAAAAATAATCAAGATCAAATGCTTTAAAATCTCTTCTACATAATGGTCTGAACTGAGCATGTGATCCAAGGCAGAGAGGATGCATTAGAGCGGACATTACAGAGATGAATTGTTGCTGTTGTGATGATGTCTTTTTGAGGCGAGCATCAGTCTTTAGCCGTGACCTATTTTCTTGTTAAGTTGTTTCAGAACAAACTGGCCACTGTCTGGATTTGTCACAAGAGTTGAAAAGATCATAAAACAGGAAGTAAAAAGAGGAAGTGTACACTATTAAGTGAACATGTTTACATTTTCTATTATTGCAGACCAAAAGCTGAGATCTAAGATGTACAGTGGAAAAATATGCACTTGACTAGAATTTTAAACTGTAACGTTCACATAAACTATAAAGAAAAAAGCTGTAAGTGCAAACTCTGTTTTTGCTGATTTAAAGGTTATGGACAATTTCTATAGAGCTGCAATGATAAATTGAAAATGCTTGGAACGAAAATGCCAGAGTGAATGACGAGTGTATTATTATGAATTAATGTACCTAAATATGTTTTCTTAAATAACAGTTCATATTTTTTTAACTTTTTATTCGTCCTTGTTTTGAGTTCTTAAGTATTTTTTATGTATTTATTCATTTGGATGTGACACTGCATATTCGTAAACACACAGGAATTGGCTCAAGCCTGGTTTCATCTTTAGACCCATTGTTCAAGTTTTTAGTGGTAGGGGAAACCAGAGCACCTCGAGGACACACAAGGAGAACATGCAAACTCCACTCAAAAAGACATTGTCACCAAGTCAAACCCAGGACTGGGATATTTACAAACTTGTTTTGGCACTGTGGTCACAACAGTATAGTGTGGTGGCCCACAGACTCACCAGTGTCGGGGTCAGTGGCCCGGACCACGATGACGGAAGTGCCCACTCCAGCCGTCTCCTTCAGGCCCAGACGGTTGTACTGCTGCTGCGTGAACACTGGAACCTCGTCGTTTGCATCGTCCACATAAACGATCACCTGACACAAAGAAAAACATGTACCTTCAGAAGCCCCTCGTTCCATTTTAGCTCAAGGAAAATAAATCCACTATTTAGATATTATTTTTGCGATATATGGTATTGCGTGACCCTTGTAGGTAATAGAACTGTGAAACTAAAATATTGCATAACTTAAATTTTTGCCTTCTTAAAAGTTGGGGCATCTATTTTTCTCTCAATAAAAATATAAAAAAACTGTGTACTAACGAAAGAATCCTGTAGAAGAAATCAGAGCAAAACATACCCTGACAGAGCTCCTCATGCTGCCCTCGTCACTGTTAAATGCCTCCACCTCCAGCACATGGGAGCTGCTAGTCTCTCGATCCAAACCTCTGCGACCCCGAGTGATCAGTCCAGTCTGGTTATTGATGCTGAACCAACCGTTACTATTTCCTGCAGAATATGAGGTCAAATTAGAAGCAAGTTTGACTCGCGTTCTTTTTTTGCCCGTACCATTGAGGATCCTGTACAACACACGGCCGTTCTCTCCGTGGTCCGCATCTGTTGCTTGCACCTGTACGCACAACGAGAAAAACATTTGTCAAAAAAAATGAAGGAAAATAATATCTTAGCCCATCATGTTATTGTTAGCTTATTAGATCATTTTTGATCATTTTAATTGTTTTGTTTATGTGGATGGATTAAAGTATCTCTCTATCTCTCTATCTATCTATCAATCTATCATTCATCAGTCTGCTACGGGTGGAAATTAGCTCTTGAGCTATAACCTGGTACTATGCATCCCTCCATTTGAGGTTAATGTTTACTGTACACTGTCCCAGTCACTTTTAAATAAATAAACTAAATTGTTGTATATTTTTGACATGCTGTATAGACATGTTTAATATAGACAAGTTTGTGCGGTTATTATGGTGTCGAAGATTGACGGCGGGTCCAGAGGCACACATGCCTGTGTGGCCATTAATCCAGTTTCAGAGTCCTTACAGAGTTTCTTGAGTTTTTTCAGACAGTTTTCAGTTTGTTCAGAGTTCTTTTCAGGCAGAATGAAAATAGGACATGCAATTCATATGACAATGTCTTATCGAAACGTCTTAGTATAGTCACAACAACAGACGCAAAACTAAAAATATCCATAATGGTCAACAAATACACGTTAGAGCTTTTCTGAATGCAGAGAGGATTGCAGGACTCCATGGAAATAGAAAGTCAATGCTAAACGTTCTACATCCATGATGGAGTTTAATGTGGATTATTGAACCAAAGTTCATGATCATGTTTCCATCCAAAATTAAACAAAAATAATTAACTTTTTACACAGAAGTTGGTTGTATTCAGGGAATATGGTCCCATACTCTGTGCAGCAAATCGTGACAAAAAGAATGTCCATTCACTTGTATGTATGTGGTTCCAGTGACAGGGAATATCTCTGGAAGCATAATATGATGTCTGAAATGTTTAATTATGATGGTGAGGTATGGTGACTGCATATATGTTTAGACCGGGTAATATGGCAACAAGTTCAGTTGTTTTAGTTTGTTTTTTTCTCAAGTTCATAAATCCAGACATCAAACATTCAGGTTTTTTTTGTAATTTCATCAATGTACTGTGATTATTTATGATTTTAATGCTTTCTTGTTCTGTTCAGCACTTTGAATTGCCTTGTGTATGAATTGTGCTATACAAATAAACTTGCCTTGCCTTGCCTTGCCTTGCCTAATTTATTTAATTTTATTCAAATGGATCCCCCTGTTGATTTCATGGACTAAACAGACTTGTTATTCATGTAGTACCATACAACATCAAACACTCTAATTTGGTCTTTTAAAGTTTGAATGCAACCCTAAGTTATTTAGAAATAACTCAAAGGCCCTTAATCACTAAAAACAAGCTTGAATAATTTTCAATATTTCCACTAATAATAATAATAATAATAATACATCGGTTTTATATAGCGCTTTCCAAGAACTCAAAGACGCTTAGTAATAAATGATATGTTAGTATATATCATACACTATAGACAAGAGAGAGGACATACAGTATATGCACTACACACTCTTTTAATTCTAATTCTATGGACATCCAATATACAGTATTTGCACCTCAGAACACTTCCTTGTTTATGTATGGTGGTTGCCACAGTAACCCAAGTTCTGTGAGGAAGAGAATTTCCAATGGCACAGTCTCGACTCGGTCCACAGGCAACTGGCCAAGAACAGAAAAAATGTGGGGGGAAAAACTAGATTTGGACAGACAGCCAGGCTCCCCAGACCACTACTGATAAATAGTGCAGTAGGCTGGGCACAGGCTGAATTGTCGGTGTCATAGACTTGTGGGTCTATGGAGAGATGCAGCTTCTGGCACTAGAAGAGTCCACACTGCACTAGGGACAAGTCGAAACCTGTGGTTGAGCTCTCAAAGTGAATATTCAATGACCTGCATCGAAACACAAGTGTGGTCAGGTAGGACGTAAGGTATCGGTATTTCTCCAGGTTAGTGAAATGTAAAAGGTTCTATGGCAGTTCAAGTTTAATTAAGTGTTTTTCAGATATGATCATGTATCATTCTCATGTATCATTCTATGTTGCGTCTCTGTCCTGGTCTCTCTTGCAAAGTTAAGGTATAATATTAGTTTCGGAAGGTTCATCTTGTCTTTTTAGTAGAATAAAGTTCTACTAAAAAGACAATTTTAAGTGTCTGGTATAGAAGACCCAAATAACTTTAAAGGTATAGTATTGATTTGTCCCTGTAGGGATTTTTTTTTTCTGCAATAACACCAGGGCCTCTGTCAGGTGCAGGTGGTTGCCTCAGAGCAGCATGCAAGGACTCGGCTTGGTCAGGACTAGCACTAGAAGATTTTACCTATGGTGCATGTTTGGCGAAACCGGAGTACCTAGAGGGAACCTACCCAGAAATGAGAAACAAACAAATAAAGGTCCAGGCCGACACAGATATTAACCCCAACCTCCTTGCTGCTGACATATAAAGCCTTTATTTAGGGACGATAAAAAGAATGGCCTTTATGCATGCAGACGCAAAAAATTAATACAAAATATAAATTAGGGGAGCAAATGTCTACAAAACAATGAATAAAATAATAAAACAAATACAAAATAGGTAGACAAATATGTTTCCAAATAATGTGAAAACATGTTTGCAGAAGATATTATATTCTTATTGCTCCATTTCTTATTTTCATACAGATACATAAATTGGGGGGAAAACAGTATTTTGTCAGCCACCAATTGTGCAATTTCTCCCAATTAAAAAGATGAGAGGCCTGTAATTTTCCTCGTAGGTATACCTCAACTATGAGAGACAGAATGAGAAAAAAAAGATTTGTGGCTCTCACAGACCTCCCTGTAACGCCTTCTTTAAGAGGCTCCAGTATGAATGGCACCACCTAACTCATCAGTATGAAAGAAACCTGTCCACAACCACAAACAGTCACACTCCAAACTCCACTATGGCCGTGACCCATCAAAGGACACCAGAAACAAAATTGTAAACCTGCACCAGGCTGGGAAGACTGACTCTGCAATAGGTAATCAGCTTGGTGTGAAGAAATCAACGGTGGGAACAATTATTAGAAAATGGAAGACATACAAGACCACTGATAATCTCCAGCGATCAAAATGATCACAAGAACCACACAGAATCCCAGAACCACACGGGGGGGACCTAGTGAATAACTTGCAGAGAGTTGGGACCAAAGTAACAAACCCTCAGTAACACACTACGCCGCCAGGGACTCAAATCCTGCAGTGCCAGACGTGTCCCCCTGCTTAAGCCAGTACATGTCCCCAAATACTTATTTTTCACCATCATTTGCAAATAAATTATTCTTCTCATTCTGTCTCTCATAGTTGAGGTATACCTATGATGAAAATTACAGGCCTCCCTCATCTTTTTAAGTGGGAGAACATGCACAATTGGTGGCTGACTAAATGCTTTTCCCCCCCACTGTACAGTATAAGAACTCTATACAACATCACAGGTCTGAGTAACTATCTTAATGTCAAGACCTAATGAACCTGTTTGGACTATCGTCTACAGCAGTGTCTCCCAAAGTGGGGTCCGCGGCCCCCTGGTGGGCCGCGAGGGTACTGCAGGGGGGCCGCGGGAGGTCATAAAAAAAATAATAATAATAATATAATTATTTAATGTTAAATGTATAATGTTTTGTTTGTAATATTAAAATATTTGTGTTCATTATTTGACTTGAATAATCCACTGTAATCATTTTTGTATTACAATGTTTGTAGCAGAGGCTATTTCCCCAAAATAAAATAACCAGAAGAGTCTATTCTTAATGTTGTCTTCTTGGTTATTATTTTGGGGGGCCACGCAGACCCGTCAGATTTTTAAGGGGGCCTCGGTGTTACTGAGTTTGGGAATGGCTGGTCTACAGTATATACAGTACCTATCTTCTGTTATCTTCACTATATACATTGGTTGTGCTTGAAATTTACTTAATATCAAGTTGGTGTTAGTATTAGATAGCAATATGGCCTACGTGCAGGACTGTACAAGGACTCTACAAGGACTCCATGTTATGACTATGATGTGACTGTCTCTTTGTGACACGTATGTCTTTCGATGTGTGACGTGACAATGACTATATAAACTATGTACTGCCTTTATTCTGTCTGAGGAAAAGAAACAGAGTAAACCAGTGGAACTTGAGAGAAACGTAAATAAACTTCCAGAGTTTGGCACACCACGATCCGTCTCTGTCTGCTAAATCCTTACAGATTTGGTGGAGAATGCGCGGCTCAGTGTGTGCCATTCTCTGGATTGTTTTGAGGGAGTTTTCCCTGTTTCTTTTTTTCGGCGTGTGGGAGCAACAGCACGTTATCTGGAAGGGGAGAAATCCCAGCGGACGCTGAAAGGGCTCGCTTTTGGATGGGCTTGCTCTTGCTCCCTCACTTTCTCTGTTTTGTGTTTAAATTGAATATTCCGACGCGGAAAAGAGTTGGCAGACCTCTCGGACAGTCCTTGGAACCGGTTTGACAAGAATAAGGTAAGCAGACACCTTTTTTAATATGTAAAGTCTGCATAATTGGATATTAGCTAAATTTTGGTCTGTTTTTTGGGGTCTGTCAAACTCTCTAAATTGTATTTTGAAGAAGTCTCGGGGTTAAAGTCCCTTTGAGCCTCGGGGTTAAAGTCCCTTTGAGAAAGTCTCGGGGTTAAAGTCCCTTTGAGCCTCGGGGTTAAAGTCCCTTTGAGAAAGTCTCGGGGGTTAAAGTCCCTTTGAGCCTCGGGGTTAAAGTCCCTTTGAGAAAGTCTCGGGGTTAAAGTCCCTTTGAGAAAAGCCTCGGGGTTAAAGTCCCTTTGAGAAGAAGCTTCAGGGTTAAAGTCCCTTTGAGAGAAACCATGGTGAATTAAAAGTAATTATAAAAAGGGAAACGTTAAACACTAAAGAGTGCCTTTTGTTACTAGTGTGGAAAGTGATCACTTCTAGATTTGGATGACAAAAGTATAAAGAACAACATCAGTTATATTCGCTTAACAAAGTAATCTTGAAAGTTATTCTTCTGTATCTTTTTGCCTGTGTGTGTGCGTCGCTCTATCTGC